CATAGAACTGTCTGTCTGACTCACTCTCTACATAGAACTGTCTGTCTCACTCTCTTCTCTCTCTATCTATGTCTCTATCTCTCTGTGTCTCTCTCTCATACAGTCATTCAGGTCTTAGAGATTTTAAGGGGACTTCTCCCTTTCAAAATGTTCAGCTCTTTCATGAGAGGGGTGCTTTGACTTTTCATATTTGTAATCTTTAAACTTCTTGAAATATTAAGTTATTTGCAATTTTCTTTTGAGTGGGATCTCTATGGAGAAAATCTTCAAATCCTGTTAAACTTCAACTTTCAAAGCCTTCTTCCTCATACTTTCAGCTACAGACACCATAGTGAGACATTTCAACTAGAAGGGTTTTCAGCAGTGCAGTTTTAATAAATGGTCATTTATTAATTTTCAGCAATTTTGTTACAATTAATTTCAGCTTTCAGCATTCTAGCATTTTCAGCAGGAAATGCATTTTCTAGTTATGTATTATTTTCCCTTCATAATACTGCTATACAGCAAACACTAAACATTAATGGTGATTTCAATTATCAGAAATGGAGTCCCATTTCCAACATCATTTTGTCAATGCCACATTGACAAAATGACACCCAGAACACAGGAAAAGAGCTTGGCAGGCCAAAACCTTTACAAACTGAGTCAAACTAAGTGTATTAGAAATAAAGAGGGGTGATGCCAATAGAGGACAGAGCAACAAGACACACAGCAGAATGGCGCATGCATTGCCTCTTCAACCAGTACTGGTTTGAGACCAGGGCTGACGTCAGTCAGCTACACTATGGGAGAACTTCCTCACTGCCATTCAGTGCGATTGTAACCAAGAGCTGTTGGGTGGCCACACAGCAGAGACGTTCTGCAGTTTGCCAATTACGTTGATCCGTAATCATGATTTATTACAGTTTACCTTGATAGAATCCGAACCGTGAATTCTGTGATCCGTTGTCAGGGTACAACGGATCACAAAAATACACTATATATACTATACACTATATATATTTTACAAATAAGATGTCTTTTGTCTTGTCGGAACTTAACCATGATTGTTGCAATAGGTTGTTACACAGCTCAGGATTCATACATATTTTGACCAATGTATTTCCATGACTTTAAACCAAATTTCCATGACCAAACATTTTGTGAAATCTCGGTGTATACATGAAAAAGTGAGAAAATGTAGTATTTAAACTAACAATGAGAATTCCAAAGCATACAGTATACCTTAAATGACACAAACGAATGAGAGACAATAGTTTGATTAAAAGAACAAACATTTATAAATATACTCTGGTTGACACTGACGCATCAATAAGAGCTTTAGTAGGTAGTAGCATCCAGCTAGTGCACATATTGCTTTCCCTTTTGTAGTGCAAATTTTTCATTGAACCCTGTTACTGTATGGCTTCATATTAACTTCCACTGTTACTGTACAGCTGTTAGAATTGTGGCCTGTCTTCTATTTGCAATTAATATGCATTCAATCCAGTTCAATTATTTAAATGAAAATGATAATCTACTCTGGCTAAGGTACCTTATCAAGAGTAAAATAATAGCTGTGATCTATACACACCTCTGCATTAGCAACCTGCTGAAATGAAGGCACCTTAACCCTCTCATTACTTCAGGGTTCTTGAGAGCAACTGCACGTGGGACTGTTGGTACACTGGCTGTCGTCATCACAGTGAACAGTGTGATGAGAGGACACGTGAGCCCTTGTTGGTGTAGTTCATCTCCTTGGAGCAGAGGCTGCATTTAGCATACCCTGCTTTATCAATGTATTTAAAACACTGTGACAGCAGGAAGCTGTACTCACGTCTGTTTAGACCTCCACCTTTATCCAGGGCCAGCTCCACCTTTATCCAGGCCCAGCTCCACTCACATCTCAGCCCTGCGTCAAGCTGCGTTACACAAACAGCCTCCTCTCCCTGAAGCTCTTTGACCTCATCATCTCATCAGTATCTGGGCCTCATGTTTCGTGGTCATGAAAGTTATTCTGACCACGAAATCATCCTCATTCTACTTTGAGTTAAAAAAAACAACCTGCAACCAGATGCGCCGGTGTTCCGGTTTAACGTTAATGAGTGACCGCGTGAACTGAACCGGAACACGGGGGGGCTGCATGTTTCATCGTGATAATGACGAACGTTAACAGTCGACAAAGTTCCGCATGCAGTGGACGTTAACTTAACCCAGCAAGTCTGAACGGTAACGGAACATAACGTAACTCAAACTTTAACGGAGGGAAATGAAGACGCTGTAGACATCTGAACGCTGATTGGCCAAGACTTGTCACATCAAAGATGTTCTATTGCGAAGATCACGACATCACCTTTTCTCCTCGTCTCACTCCAATCTGAGAAACGCTGGCTGGCAACTCAGCGTAAATGAACGACATGAAAATATGAATATACACGTTTCACGTGTTCAACATATAACATGCACGTTTCACGTGTTCAACATGCACGTTTCACGTTACTTACTTGACATCGTGGCTGCAGACGAGACTAAGTAGAGCAGGCAATTTACATGTTGGTCAAGCTGGATAAGAAAACATAAGAGAAGAAGAAAATCCGTCACACACATTATATGAAGTAAAATCACACCGCTAATGCAATTTTTAGCTTGGTATAAACAGTAGCATAAAGATACCGGCAAATGATTTTAAAGTAACCAGCACCGAAAATAAGGACGAATGATAACAATGGCTGAGGGGAATTAAAAAGCTAACGTTAACTTACCCAGCTTGGCCTACTAGCCAAACCTGCTAACACAAAGAGGCTATTTACCCCATAATAATCTTGATGGTATTGAATTCAATGGATTTTAACGTCATTTAGTTACTAAAACAGAAATTACACAAAGCATGACCTCTTGCAAAACGGTTGACATCAGAAGCGTGCATGGCTTTCAAGATGTTTGAAACCTTGTCGTTGAAGCTCGGCTAACGAACAATACAAACTCTGGCTAACATTACATCGTGGTGGTTAGCTACCCATACTATCTTAGTTATCTAATTGTAATTCAATCACATTTGACGTCGTTTTTACACTAGTCACAAAATGATAAAAATGTAACCGTTTTCAAGTAATTATGTTGGAAACTGCGTAAACATACTCAGTCAGTCGTCCTTTGTTCCCTCCGTAGGGCCGCTTGTTCCGCATCACACAAACCGGAAGTGTTAGCTTTGTTCTGTTGGGCGGAAAGGATGTTTTCAGAATAAAAGCGTAACTTCAACTATACAGCCGCTGCACAGTTGCCATCAATATACATCAATAAAAGAAAAACAGGTTATGAAATCTGCAATATTCCAAATCAAGCAATATTTCTCGGACAACATTTGACTTCTTGAGAGTTCTAGTTGTGTTATCTATAGCCAATAATTATTTGAAGTATCATATAAAATCATATGTGGGAAAAAATGCTATTCTCATCATTGATCCAAGTCTCACTCAAAGATAAGGCTATAGAAGTCTTGCTTATGCAGTGATACATAATAATAGTAAATACTTGGTAAAAATGGAAATGTGTTTATTCGACCAAAGATTACGCTGATCACTTTTTAGTTTTGGGGGAGAGATGGAGATTACAAAGCAGAGCCACTCTTTGCAAAATTCAGGCATATCTTTAATACATTAACATTTTTTTTTATTTTTGCGAAGCAAGCATTTTTACAGAATCTTTATTTATGTGAAATACAGACTGAGATGGCCGTATCTCATTTTAAATCACTATTCCTAGATGTTATAACAAACATGCTCCTTTTAGAAAATGTAAGATCATGTGACAATCCATGGTTCACAGATCGACTTTCAGATATCATTCATCAGCAAAATCTTGCCTAGGCAAGCAAGATAATCCAAAAGTCCCTCAAATTAATTTTAGGTAAACAAATGTTCCTTCCAAATATGCAAAGCTAAATCATAATTGTATGTTCAAGAACGTCTGATACCTTAAAAAACCCTCTAAATTCTGAAAGGGTTGTTATGTCAATGTCTTCAGGTAATAACAGTGGGCTACCACAATGAAATCACAATAGACAAAACAACGCTAAATACCCTAAATCAGCCTTCTATTTCAGTCTTGCTGACAGTCAGAGGCAGTGCTTTCACGCTGAATATATTTCGTCTTGCTCACACGCAGGTCGAGTATTCACACCAACAAACTCATGCGTGACCTCGGATTACCCTGGTATAGATTCTGTTATCATTCACGTTATCATTCCTTTTTCATCTCCTCGTTTATGCAGTTGCATTAGCCTGAGCAAAATACCCGAGGGGACATCCCCACATCCCTGAAAGCCATTCCACATTGAGCACAGCAGACTTTCTTCTTCATATTATTCATAAAAACTACACGATAGACAGTTACTGCAGATGTAAAAAACAAACAAACCCAGTTTGTCACTTACCGAATGCTGTTCACTTAAAGAGTTAAAGAGTTTAATCCCAGTTCCAGTTCCAGTAAGAAGACCTTCTCATGGACGAATAGACCGCGACCGGCCGGCGTGCGCCGAACGAACACCGACGAACATACGAACAACGTCCGGCGTCCGTTCGGTGCGCGTTCGGTGTACGAAGACTGAACGCCGAACGAACACCGGCCGGCGTCCGTTTGGTCCCCCCTTATGGACTCACGGACTTTGAGGTGCACTCCCACGAAGTCCGTGAGGGTTTAGGGCTGTCCCACTGTCAAATCATCGAGTGTTTGAGTCTCTCGCAGACATTTTGAGCCCTTTATGAACCCTTTCCGTAAGTCAGCATAGGATGCTGACTTTGCCTAACGGAATTACCCACAAATCATTGCAATGTGACGTTAAACACGGGGACGCATGGAGACGTAAAGAAAAAGGTAAACAAAGAGGAAGGCCAAATCCCAATGTCCCCCCTAAACCCTCAAACCCTGAACCCTCAAGGGCTTACTGATGTCACCTGGTGAGTGGTTGAGTGTGAGAGACTGTGAGGGCTTGAGATGGTGTGAATAGGAATGGGACAGCACTTTGCTGCAACATATCAAGTTACCATGAAAACGACAAAACATATGATGTGTAATTGTGGGTATTTATTTTATACTTTGTACTCCCTGATTTGAACGTCTTCAGGCTCTTTCCTCACAAGATGAGAGGTAATTCATATAATGTATTTACTCGTTTTTGTCAAAACAGCTTCAATGACAAAATCAAATATTTGATGAATACATTAATAAATATTCTCTGATTTCAAGTTTATTTTTTGTTCCATCTTTAACCCTTAATATATAAATATTTGATTTTGTCATTGAAGCTGTTTTGACAAAAACGAGTAAATAGATTATATGAAATTACCTCTCATCTTGTGAGGAAAGAGCCTGGACTGTTTGCCTGTTGTGTCGTGTTGGTTTCAACCTCCTCCTTTGGACCACCCCCCCCGGTTCCTCAGTCTGTCTGCCCTGCCTTGTCCTTCCCGGTTCTCACCCTTACATCCCTGGATTCCCTGCTGTTCCCTGTTAATTTTCATTTTGTGTTCATGTCGCATTAAATCCCTTTTGTTTCACTCTGCAATCCCTGGTCGTGTCCACCACCACGCCCCGTGACAGTAAATGCTAGTTTGGTAGCCAGCAGAGTGCTTTATTACCATTCATTAGCAACCACTGTTTGACACTGGGTATTTTGCACACTACTTTCATAAGAAAGTCCTGACTAGAACAACTTGACAAAGGGTTGAGGTGGATCTCGAATGAATCTTCTTTAAAATGATGTACACCACTTCTATGTGGCATATTATGTTGACCTTTTATCTACTCTTCAAGATTCACCTATCCTTCTAAAACAAAAGGTGGGAGGGGGATGAAAAATTAGGTTTTGATGGTCTTTTTGAGGCCTAGCCAGCCTGCTAGCAATATAAGCATGAGTTTTTGACATTAAGTTCCTGAGTTAGGCTTTATTTATAAGATGATAAAAAGCTGATATTGTTGCTGCTTTTATGTGGGCAGACTAAGATCAGAGTCAACTATAGCAAGAGGGGCACTACAGGTCAGAGAGTTCTTATTTAATATTTGGGAAGTTTGATTTAGCTTAATTGTTAAAAATGGAACCATGGACATCCATTTTGGTTGGTTACTACATAACGTGTGTATTATTACACTTTCATCAAAAAAAGTTTCATGTATTTTGTAATAACCACTGCAGTATGTCATAAATTACAAAATGCGGGGGAAAGTGTTACATTTTACTTTAAAGCTGTTTATTTAAAAATTCAGCAGATTATTACAAAATGTGGGTGCTGTTACATATTGAATTAAATATTTTTTGTTGAGTTATTATATAATGTGGTGCTGTTACAGGGCAATATTGTTTTTGTGCAAAACACATTTGCTGTTGCAAAGGAGACATCAAGTATTTCACAGTATGCAAAACAGGTTCTATGAAAGTCCAACACACTGCGTGCCCGACCTCCACACCCTTTGCCTCACTCCTTCAAGGGCACACTACCTCCAGCATTGGACATAGATCGCTATGAGCAAAATTGTCCAATATGAATGCAATTTCTTGGGATATTAAGCTTAGAAAGCAATTGTGGGAAATATTAGTCCAACTCGATATATTAAAGAATATACCAGTGGCAGGCTATGCATTTTATACCTGGGCCTTCACTGCTGTCCTGCAGCTGAAATACCACCTTATAACCACATTATGGCACCACAGCATTTATTCATTTTTAAGGCTGTAATGTGCTATGTACGTCTTCGTTTTAAACCGTTCGGTACAAGTCCTTTAAATAATGCTAGAGCATTTAGAAAATGTAAAAGCCTAAATTCAGGAAAATATAATGTTCTCAGGTGGTCTGGCTGTGGGATCCGCCTTAATGACAAGCCACAACCCAAAGAGATTATCATAGGATTTTACTTTCACAACTTGAATGTTCAATGTACTGTTCTGCAATGTCTTTCCTCGTCTCAGTCTCCTGTGTCATGGTGTGTGTTACATCTTACTCGGGTCAGAATGCCCATATTTGATTGGCTGAGCTGCATCACGTGATGTGATTCACTACCCGACAGCCTCTGCTGTTAAGTTTCGTTTCACGATAGTCACGTGCTCGCCCACTGACCAATCACAGCGCACTCTGCACCTCGCAGCAGAGCTACACATGGATACTGAGCGGCATGTAATGCTGACGTCATTATAGGCCGGCTCGCAGGCTCTGACACGTCAAAGAATACGCCCAACATGTCAAACTAAAGATCTGATTGGTTGAAGACTATGACAATCAACAATATCGTCCTCATTTACTTAAACTGCAAAGGGATTCACTTGTGAGTCTGCAGGCCTCGGGCCTCTGTTCTACCTAGAGACACAGAGGTGAAATCTGATTGGATAAAAGCTCTACTTAAAACAAGCTGCACTGGAAGCAGAGCAACTGAGGAAGACAGGAGCTGTGCATTGAGAACATAAGATAATGGGAAAAATATTATTATAAATTATAATACATGTAGTGTATTTAAGAAAAATTATTAAATTATAAAATAGATATAACTTTGTGATTCTGTTTAGGCCAGCAGAGAAGGCCTTGCTGGCCCGCCACTGGAATATACACAATGTGTTAATCATTCCATTAAAGCGGTTTTCTTTTTTTTTTTAATTTCGGTGAACTCTAAGAAATAATGGTATCACAGAATGGGAAACAGACTGGAACTGGAGGAAGTAGACACCATTGTTTTTCCTTAGTCAAATAAAAATGACGTCAACTAAGGAATGTGATGCAAGTTATCCCCATAAAGAAGAGAAGACAACCATTAAAAACTGAAAATGGTAGTGAAGCATTAAAAAAAGAAAATTATGGATATGTACATTGTTGGATTTTGCAGTAAACCTTTAATCATATTTAACTCTATTGAATCTGTGTGTTGATTGAATAAGTATTTGAACCATTGCGGTAGAGGACATCAAGACATCTGGCCCAGGTAAAAGTAGAAGGGTCAAATGGTGGAGGATACATTTTTGCAGTTTGAGGATTCCAAATTAACAGATTGGAAGTCCAAATATACAGACAGCTTCTTGTTCCTGGTGCCAGATATAAGTGCATGAGGCATTTAGCAGAAAACAATGTAAGTGAAACAGAAATATAGAGGCTTTAGGATGATATATGCCAATGATTATTTTCTGCACTTAATTCAATCATACCTCCCCCCCAAATGATAGAGTCTTCAGCCATGGTAGCAGCTCTGTAAGGCCACAGTAAGGTACAGTGGTACATTGAACCATCAGCATGCTCGCAATGCTGATGCTAACATGGAGAAGTTTAGCAGATACAATGCTTCCAATGAAAGCATGCTAATTGGCACAAAAGATCCAGCAAAAGTACAGTTGTGGCTACGTGTTTATATATAGGAGTTGTATAGGAATTGTGAAAACCTTCTAATCTAATGCAGAAAAGCCCTGAAGGTTAGTGCTTTATTAGTGATTGTTTCACACAGCAACAGTAGCATATAGCAGTGGGAATATTTTGTTCAGGTCAGAACTTTTGTCTGGTACATGGATAGGACAGACAAATTGTAACATGAAATACCATATCTGGTCGTGAAAGTTTATTGTTGAGCTTGTGAAAATGGAAAAAAAAAGCTTTTAGCTACTAGCTTTGCATGCATGCCGAGCCAACACCACATGTTGCTGATGAAGATCTTGACATGATCTTCATCTGAGTTGAAATCAATTCAGTAACAAATTCTGCAAAGAAGGCAACAAGCCCCAGCCAATCAGAGGCAGTGTAGGTTTTCACTGAATGTGGGTGGGGCATAAAATCATTCAAACAACCCTAAATTACAGGCTGTGCCAATTGCTGTGAAAGAGGTCATTTAGCATGCAGATGAGAGGGCACTTCAACATTTCCAAAAACTCTCTTGCACACTTGTAGCTAGTGTGCCTTTTAAACTTTTACCTTTTTTAGTTTTACTGTGCAGTGTCACTTAGTCAAATTCCTGTGTACATTTGGCGAATAAAGCTACTCGGATTCTGTTAGGTTATATGAGCTATAGAATTTACAGTCAAGCTACTTGAACTATCTTAAACTGGGTGGTTTAACTTTGGCCTTATCTCATAGCCTCATAAGGGGCTACTTATTTTGTGGTCCTTTGAATGACAGATTACTATTATTTGAGCCAGTTGGCAGCACGTTGATGATGTCATATGCCAGTCCGTTTGAATTGTAATTCTTTTTTGTTTGTTTTGTTCTTGCAAAGCACGAATGGGTACTGGGTTGCTGCTGGTACCAATATGAGGATACAGTGTTAAACAAAGAACTTAAGTTATCCTCAAATTTACAACAGAAACAAGTGTTTCAAATGTGTTAGAAAGCTGCCTCGCCTTACCTAAAGCATGTGTAAAAGCTCAGGGTAGGCTGTGTAAATGCTATTTCAGAATTTGAAACATTGCTTACGCATGTTTACCCGCCACTACAGCCTTGTCGCTACCAGGTCATCTTGTGATTTTTCTTTTGTTTGTTTTTAATGCGAGTCTTCAGGGCTAGAAGGTCAATGTAGAGGATCTGGTTGAGGACGGCAGAGGCGCAGAGCAGTCCACCGTGCAGCGCCCCAGCCATGCCGTTACAGAATACATCCTGACCTGCACACACAAACACACACAGAATCATCAAGCAGGCACGTCAGTAGAATCTCTGTAGAATCCAGACCAGATAAGACTGTTGTCAGTCAAGTCACCTGTTAGGTAGAGTCCATCAATCGGTGTCTGCGGTCTTGTCCTGGCAACTGTGTCTGGGGTAAAGCGCTCCAGGTTGTGTTCAGCACCGTACATCTCACCTCTTGGAGCACCCAAATAGTGGACATTAGTGAGAGGAGTGGCAGCATCCACCATCACCACCTGAACATAAACACACATGCTATTCACTGACAAAACAGTTGCCACTTCAGCCTCTTTGCCCTTAGAAATATAGTTTGGAGACAGAGCAATATTTTGGACTGGTAATGTGTAAATACAGGGAAGAACAACTTAAATGTCTATGATAAAATATGAATCCGACCATACACCACTGCCTAGCACATAGAATGGTGACACCTGAGTTCCATTCACTGAAGACAGATGCCCCAGGAATAAAGCTAGTAAGTGAACCTTGAGCTTGGAATACATTACCTTGTCCCGCAGTTGAGGGAAGATTGTTAGTGCCCAGTCCAGCATCTCTTGGGCCATACTGTTTTTCATATCCACGTAGTTCTGTCCCCTCTTGCCAAGCTTTGTCCCCTCCCATTCCTCAAACCACTCATAGCGAGCCATGGTTAGCAACGTCATGCAGGACTTACCTGCAGAGAGATAAGAAGGGGAAAAAGAGAGTGACTATTATATGGCTCATGTAAACATCAGATTCCGTTTGGATATTCTGAATTAGGCCTTATTCCGAATACAGCATTTTCCGCTAAAGACATGGGATATGCCAGTATTATTCAGGTTTACGGAGCATTCTTTCGACATGTACACAGCGCATTCAGAATATGCGTCTCAATAGGGGGTTTTAAGGCACTTTGTGACACACTGCCTCTTTCCTGTTTCCAACCAGCTCTGTGCGTTGAACACAAACCAACAGTTTGCAAAGCTAGAGAGATGAATGCTCAAAAGAAAAAGCCCACATTTCTGGTCGAAAGTAGAAACACCTACTTTTAAGCATGATGAAGGACTTGGATATCAACAGGTTTTTAGATATGAACAAATATTATATCTGGTTTACGTTAATCGGAATATGCACGGCTGCATGTCTACAGGAATATTAGTGCAATATTCATAATAATAATAATAATAACAATATAATTGATCTAATTGTTAGCTCCAAAGAGTTTTCTCTGGGAGAAATCTCAAATTTCTCTTTGGGAGGAATCTCATCATAGTTCAAAAGTTCTTTCCTTGCATGTTTGTAGATTTCATGTCTGTTAACTATATTACACCAACTTTTAAACACAGCACCTGAGCGTTAACATTTGGTAGCCAAAGTGCTATTTCATTAGTTCAATTCTACCTCAACTCAGTTCAATTGTCTAAGAATTCTAGCAAATTCTTTATATTTGAAAGTCACAAAGTTGCTGGCACAAGTGGAAGGGGGTATCCGATACCAACAAGTATGTCTACGTGTGTACATGTGAGTGTTACCAGTTACCTGGGTGTCTGATATCGGCTGTAGGATCTTTAGCTGATGGGAAGGTGATGAACATCATGGGAATGTTTCCCAATACCTCCTCTCTGCTCAGAGAAGAGTAACGCTCCATACTGCACACACACACACACACACACACACACACACACACACACACACACACACACACACACACACACACAACAGGGATGTGTTGAAATAACATGGGATATGTTAGACTAAAATATGATCAAAATCTATATTTTTAGATAAAAACCTACAGTGAGTCCAAGTCATTGTCTTTATACATCCAAAAGTTGGTGGAAACAATGCCCAGCTCCTCTTTGGTTCCATCCAAACCAACAAAGACCAAGAACGAACCCATACCATGACGCATCAAACCCAACAACGACTGGATCTCTACAAACACACACACATTACAGGAAGCAGGAGAAAAAGATAGTGAGTAAGAAAAAAGGTGCAATATAACGTTTAGTGGCTGCAGTCCCCATGCTGTTACCTGGTTTGTCCTGCACGGGTTGAGGCAGAAACTTCTGGAAGGTGTTGAAGATTCCTGCGTTGGAAATGACAACAGGGGCATGGACCTCAATCTCTTCTTGTCCTTTCAGCACCGTCACACCTGACACACGTACACACAGTTTTAATCCCAAGGAAATATCCAGCATTGCATGTTATGTCCTGTTTAGTAGAGGATACGGACATCAGGCTTAGTGGTAGTTGATTCCCCAAAACCTAACAACAAATTAATCAATATTTTATCTGTGGCGTGATAGGTTGGAAAGGGAAATGTCCTTTGTTTGGTCAGTTATTAGTCAAGTCATGTGACTTGGAACTTGCTTATCAATTAAGGCTTCTGAATTTGAAATGCTAAATAGGCAGTCAATGAGTGTCTCTCTGCGGACTTCCATGAACAGAGAGAGCCGTGCACACTTTCATGGAAAAGGCCACTGCAACACAGAACCTGTACAGAACCCTTTCTCACCGATGACCTTCCCTTGCTGGTTGAGCAGGACGCGATGCACAGAAGCCCTGACCAGCACAGCGCCGCCCGCCTGCTGAATGACCGGGATGATGTGGAAGGCGAACTCGCTGGCGCCCCCCCGTGGGTAGTACGCACCACGCTTGTAGTGGTGAAGCAGGAGAGCGTTGATGAGAAAGCTGGAGTCTTTAGGAGGGACACCTAAAATGACACAAAAAAGGAAAACATTGAGGAGGATTCAGGGAATGTGTGTGACCTGAGATGCTTGTGATTGTGTGTGTGTGTGTGTGTGTGTGTGTGTGTGTGTGTGTGTGTGTCCATCACCATAGAACAGGTAGGCAGACAGTGCCTGCAGGTCCTTGTTTTTTGTGAGGCGGGACATCATTTCTGAATGGTTGGTTGCTGCTAGTTGGAACACTGAAGATATGAGATTCAAAAGGCCGGATCGAACCAGGAAGTTAGCCAGCCAATAAGGTATGATCTTCAAGGTGGCGATGAGTGGCGTCCGCCGTGAGGCTAGCTACAAGAGGAGGTCATACAGACATAATATACTTTACTTGTAAAACACCTTCAATATGGGAAATGTAGTGTTTGTACTAAAGGTGCTTTAACACAGCTGCCTCTTTTGTTTTCAACGTAAACACCACAGAAGCCAAGCTGCCAAGGTTGGCAGAGGGAGGGCAGCCAGTCTGGTGTACGTGCACAGCTCTTTGCAGCTGCATTTGGAGTTCATGCTGGTTCAACTTTTTCAATTTGCCGCAGCAGCTCGTCAGGTGACCATGGCAACCACAGAAACCATAGCAAGAGAATTGATACAGTGACTGATTTACTGGTATCCAAGCTCCCTGAATGACACTCCTCTTCATTGGCACAGAGCAAATATCAATAAAGAGACACAGTACTACATCAGCTTCTTATTATCCGATCTGGGACAACAAACAGTATTTATGTTACTAGTTTGCAAAACTTGTAGTGTTAATAGTGTCATATTTCTATCAATTTCCTCCATTACAAGCTACAAGCTCTAGATACTGTAGTTACATGAATAGTCAAGCCGATTCAAACTCAAAACCTCAACATTGCCAGGTTGCAGTAACAGCAGGACCCATGGCAGTAACCACTTGTTTTCAGAAAGCATCTTAAAAATGAACAATTTCTAAATAAATAGAAAGTGAAAAATTGTATATAAACATAGACCTGTAGAGTCAAACAAAGAGAAAGATGGATGTTAAAAGCCAGTTCTTGCTTTTTCCTTGTGAATGCAGTTGGAAGAAGTGCATTTTTCAGTCCATTAAGGGGCTTAGATCGTCAGGAGCAACAGCTACATACAGTTGGGTGTCATCTTCATAGCAGTGAAAGATAATACTGTGCTTGCAAAGGATGATCACTAGTGGTAGCATGAAAAAAACAGAAAAGTAACTGAGTTTTGTCATAAATGTAACTTGTACGCAACCGTGTTCGTAAATCAAACTCTGCTGCTTCCTCCTTTCCCGCTCTTGAGATCAATCATTCAGTCATGATCACCATCAGCTCCCTCCCACTTTACCTTCATCAATCTCATGAACTCATCAATGGCCTCCTCCTCTCCTGGAAACTGCTTCTTCAGGCTCTCTGCCATCTCAGTCTTCCCTGCATGGATATGGTACTCCCTGAGATTGTCAGAAGTAAGGAAAGGCGGGTCAGAGATGGCTGGAAATGTTGTTCTGATTAGTTCGGGTCCAGGTAGGGTTTAAAGCCCTTTGTAGATATTCTCAAAAGTGTGGAAATGTAAAGACATTTAAATATGGATGTGTTTGGAGCCTTGAGACTTCTCAGTAAGAAATATAGTTCATGTCAGGCTTTGTTTGTTGTAGTTGATTACTCCTGGTAATGAGTTAATGTGAAGAAAAACCCATTGAAAGAAAGAACCCACTTAACTGTCCAATAATAATAAGGTGATTATGTTTCCCACCTGCGTTGGTCATGCAGACCCAGGAACAGTGTGTCAAAGTGCTGCTCCAGCCGTGTGAACTGCAACTGTCCCTCTGTGATCTGATCCAGAGCAACCCTCAGCAGGCTACCCTCATGAAGCTGGCCCAGGTAATGGATACCTGGTGGGGTAAAATCAGTGCTTTAAAATGGAAAACATAAAACAACTTTTTTAGACTTAAAAGGATTCTTCATTCAGTCCTTGTGAGATGAAGAGCGCATTTAAAAGTGAAGCTTTTCAGTTGGATTATGACATTGTATTAGAGTTTTTCCTTCTGTGTCTATGGTACTAATCTTTGATTCTACTTCGTTCATTGTCCATTTTATAATAATTTTATAATTTTAGAAACGGAAAACAAAAAAAATCAGTCACTTTTTTTGGGCTGCCAAAAAAACAAAACAGCGGGATCACATAAATGCTGGAACTTCAGATAACAAACAAAGTAGTGTTATGTAATACTGTATTGTAGCAGTGCAGGTGTGAAGGAGGAAAACATTTTGCTAATGACTTTAATAAGCGGTGCTCTTACATTTTTTTAATTGAAATATGAATTTGTTCCAACAAACTACTAATTTGTAATATTAAATTACTTTATTACTCCATGGGGCAGGTGAAGCTCAGCAGAATGAGCGGGGTCTCCACTAATCAGAAGATCGGCAGTACAACCCCTCCCTACAACACAACCCCTCCCTATGACACAACCCCTTCCTGCAGTACAAGCCCTCCCTACAGTACAAGCCCTCCCTACAGTACAACCCCTCCCTACAATACAACCCATCCCTACAGTACATCCCTCCCTACAGTACATCCCTCCATACAGTACATCCTTCCATACAGTACAACCCCTCCCTACAACACAACCCCTCCCTACAGTACAATCCCTCCCTACACTACAACCCCTCCATACACTACAACAAAACCCCTCCCTACAACAAAACCCCTCCCTACAACACAACCCCTCCCTACAGTACAATCCCTCCCTACGACACAATCCCTATACGACACAATCCCTCCCTACAGTACAATCCCTCCCTACAGTACAACCCCTCCCTACAGTACAACCTCTCCCTACAACACAACCCCTCCCTGCAACACAACCCCTCCCTGCAACACAACCCCTCCCTGCAACACAATCCCTCCCTGCAACACAACCCCCCCCCTGCAACACAACCCCTCTCTACAGTACAACCCCTCCCTACAGTACAACCCCTCTCTACAGTACAACCCCTCCCTACAACACAATCCCTCTCTACAGTACAACCCATCCCTACAACACAACCCCTCCCCCTACACTACAACCCCTCCCTACAGTACAACCCCTCCATACAACCCCTCCCTACAACACAACCCCTCCCTACAACAAAACCCCTCCCTACAACACAACCCCTCTCTACAGTACAACCCCTCTCTAC